CCCCCCCGTGGCGCCGCGACGCCGTCTCCAAAGTGGTGGAGAGAGAGAGGGGGAGGATTGAAAGAGCCGCTCTTTAATGTATGTAATTTAAAATTAGCACGCAACACACTCGACGCTCGCTCATTTGCGCGCGTCACGAGTATTGCGTTTCCGAATTGTGTGAACGACGAAGGCGGCGGCGGCGCTCCGAAAATAAAAGCGACGCCTTTTTTTTTCTGTCAATTTCAGCTTTTCAATTATTGTTATTTCTATGGAAACCATTATGGAAAAACTTTCGCTAGAAGAAGGGTGAACGACCTACGATAAAATGGAAATGCATTTCCTCTAAAGAAAACTAGTTTAATTACACAATTGGAAAATTTGCTTAAAAACTCGATTACATCAACAATAATCGTTCTCCGCGTTCGCGCGTAGATGGCGTTCCGATCGAATTCCTCGATTTGCGGCGTAAACTTTCCAAATTTTCAAATTAACCCCAACTTTACATAAAAAAAAACAAATTCATTCGAATTAACCTAAAAACTAAAATAATTTTATAGATATTTTACGAATCAACAAAAAACAGAAAAAACTATTTAATTATATACTCTGAATTGTTTTATGACTCACTAGAAATGATGAAATTGAATGCGAACAAATTATCTTTTTATTGAAAATATTTCTGAAATTAACTTAATTTTAAAAGAAATCCAAAGAAAACATTTATTTTTTCGTCTATTTTAACTATGTCCAAGTAACAATTGAATGTTGAGACTGAATTTATAAATATCATAGACAGATTTTTTTTTATCAATATGGAAACTCTGAATTGTTTGATGACTCACTAGAAATGATGAAATTGAATGCGAACAAATTATCTTTTTATTGAAAATATTTCTGAAATTAACTTAATTTTAAAAGAAATCCAAAGAAAACATTTATTTTTTTGTCTATTTTAACTATGTCCAAGTAACAATTGAATGTTGAGACTGAATTTATAAATATCATAGACAGATTTTTTTTCTCAATATGGAAACTCTGAATTGTTTGATGACTGATTCACTAGAAATGATGAAATTGAACGCGGACAAATTATCTTTTTATTGAAAATATTTCTGAAATTAACTTAATTTTAAAAGAAATCCAAAGAAAACATTTATTTTTTGTCTATTTTAACTATGTCCAAGTAACAATTGAATGTTGAGACTGAATTTATAAATATCATAGACAGATTTTTTTTCTCAATATGGAAACTCTGAATTGTTT